GGGTATGTCTGTGTGAGTGTGCTGGATCCCCTGGGACAGGAGTTACAGACAATGGTGAGCTGCCAAGTGGATGCTGGGAATTGAACCTGGGTCCTCTGGAAAAGCAGCTTGTGCTCTTAACCACTCAGCCATCCTTCCAGCCCCCCAAAAGGCTATTGAAATAAAATTTGAGATAGTAATATATTTTGACAATTAGGATTTACGCTACTGAATTCTGGAAAAATATAAGTTCCAGATTTTGGCAAGAAAAAAATTCCAAATTTAATTTCTTACCAGACTCACTCTTTAGCATTCAATAGGCTTACTCTCTGATTTAATTGCTCTGGAAAAGTCATAGGGGATGCTCAAGATGTCTAGGACTGTTGCACACCTGTGCTTCAGGAGAAACTGTACACTGCAGAAACTGAGCATAGGTCCTTCATAGACCTAGATGACACAGATTGACAAAATACCCAACACCTACTGAGCTGGCAGGTGCAGATTTCCTAGCCTTGGACTCACTGAAGCCATTTGCCTTCACCCAGCAGTAGGGCACCTTCACCTCCCATCTACTGATGAGCCCTTGGGCACCTTTTGGGAGTCTCATGAGGAACCAGGTTGATCTCAAACTCCCTATGTAACTGGGGATGACCTTGGAATTCTACTGGTGCTCTTGCCTTCACCTCCAGAAAGCAAGGTTATGCAGTATTGGGAACTGAACCCAGGGCCTGTGCACACCAGGCTAGCACTCTACCAAGGGAACATCCCCTGGCCGCCTCCTTTGGTTTTATATGACCTAACCTAACCCTGAAGGCGATGACCACAGGATTGATCCCCAGCACTCACTGATGATGCAGCTTTAGCCTCAAAGTTGGAAGGGGCAAGGACCCAAGGTGTCTTGGTAGAGTATCAGTGCTTGACTGTGACTGGGGAGATAGATCCTGGACAGGGGTTGGAAGGGTTACCCACTGAGCAGAGTTTCTGGGTTCAGATCTACCACACCAAATCCAGTAGATTCTTTGTGACAAGTTCCACAGGCAATAACTTCAAAAGAAGGAGTTCTCATGAAAACAGTTGTGGAATAGGTCGGAAAAAAATATTGAATGGTAGTTCTCTTGGCAATCACTGATCCTCTATTATTTTCTTATATTAATGAAATGTTCCTGAAAGCCTACGCTGACATTTTAAACAAAGGATATAAATGAGAAACCGTGCTCTGAGACATGGTCACTGTCCATGACCCCATCTCCAGGAAAACCAGCGCTCTTCAAATCATTCACGGCATTCACATCAGTACAATTAGTATTGATGAAAACTTTCCCAACAATAAAATTTCATATGCTGTACGTGTGTAATTGAAAGTAGGTTTAAATGTTTCATAAAGCAAGTTTTTTTGATAAGAAAAAGTCAAAATGGCTCAATGTTTCAAAGATTCACAAGAGCTAGGCAACAAATGTTAAACAATAACTGACCATAAAAAGTATTAACCTGGTCTTAGAAAATAGGCGATTAGCTGTGGTTAGCTTTGAATAATTTTCTGATTTATTGTTAGCCTTGGATAAGTTGTATGTTACTGTGCCTAGTGTTGATGATGTCATTTGTTCTATCTGGGTTTGCTTCAGTGAACACAAACTCTGAGAAGGTATGCTTTATCCTGGATAAAAATTCTTACTTAAAAGCTGCAAAATACACTCAGATTGAAACTGCCTCTGTGTTTGTTTCTGTTTGTCACCACTGAATTATTACCCACCTAGTCTTCAAGAAGCCTCACCCCAGGGACCTCCATACTGGCTGGGACGGTCAGTAGCACAAGTCAATGTCTTACTATGACAACAAATCCAGGCATGGACTAAGTTCCTCCTGACATGATTCCATCAGTTTACCTCAGATATTTGAGTGCAGGACCTCACTGTTGTCTGATCAGTCCGGGGGGGGGGGTTCATGGCTGTTAGGGGTGTTGAGTACAGGACACCACCTCTACTTTGCTCTTTAACACCTGCTTCTTCACTACAAAGAGGCTCCCATAGTCCCCAACGTTTCTTGAGGAATCCAAACCCTCAGAATTGTGGAAAGTAACTAGGATTCTCTTCTTTAGATGGTATCTTGGTCTCAAGTCAATGGCATTCAAGTTTATGACAATGACAGTAAAAAGGCAGCAACAGGAGTTGGGGACACAGCTCAGTCACTAAAGTACATGTAATGTAGTTATGAAGGTCTGGGTTTGATCCCTGGTACCAAATGAAAGCTAAATATAATGGCATGTGCCAGGCTAGCTGGCCATACAGTCTAATCAGTGAGCCACAGCTTCTAGGGAAAGACCCTGCCTCAAAGAACAGAACAAAACAAAATCAAAAATTACTGAAAGAAAAGACCAAGGTGAGATTCCTGAGGAATGACAACTAGGCTGCCTTTTGGCCAACACACACACACACACACACACACACACACACACACACTGAAGGGCAGCAACTGCCTGGAAGAAACATGTTGCTTGAGGCCTACAACTGAATGGGATCTCTACTATCAATGTGTTTACTACTCCTGGAACTCAAAGACTTTTGTTAAATCAAGTCACCTTTGGACAACCAGGTCTTCCCAGACAGGAGAACCTGATGGGTAATCCAGTGACCTGGTATCCGGAGAGAAGCATGTCACAGAAGTGACTACTAGAACAAGCAGGTTATCCTGTTCCTTTCTGCATATTGGACACAGCAGACCCCAGCCAGCAATGGCCAAGATAGAGCAAAGCAGGTAACTGACTTAAGGCTCAGTTAGGTGAAAGTTGCTTCTGCCTAGTAAGCTAAACACCCCTAATTTGGGATGTTCTAAGGCTCCCCGGTCAGGCACAATTGTGGAAGACAGAGGTCAGTCTGAGTGACCTGACCTGGTGGCTCAGCATGGTCAGCCCGGCACAGAGTCAAGGTGCCCTACCCAGTCTGCAGGTTGCCTCCCATCTCAGCACCGCTAAGTTTATCTGCATGCCTGGGATGGACCAGGTGGTACAGGGGCCAGGCAGACTCCTCCTACCACAGCCTCCTTCCTATGGAGCCCTCTCAGGGTCTGACCTCCACTAGAGTAGGGCCAAGGAAAAGACCAGACCAAAGAGGAAGAGAAGGAGGTAGGAGTGGCTGGAGGCTTGGCTACACTTGATTTGATTCCTAGGGCTGGTCTACACACTGCTTCAGGCTGAGGTTGAGACCCCTCATTCCACCCCTCTGTCCAGGTGCAGAATTGTAACACCTCTTTCCCACACCTGCTTCTAGAATAATCCGTCTCCTGTTCCTCAGGAGAGGAATTATTTCTGCCCACTGGGCCTTCTGTTCTCTCTATCTCTCTTTTAGGGAGTTGCTTGCCCAGCTACAGAACCCCTGAAGGGCACTTCTAGAGTTCACAGTAAGCACTTGTCTCCCCTCTGCAGCCTGCAGAAGCAAAGGGGCTCATGGGAACAGATGCCAAGAGTTCTGACTTCCACATGCAGGCTGTGGAATGTGTGCCCCATCCTCTCCACACACAATAAAGAAATGATGAAATGTAATTAATCTAATTTTAGGCAGGAGAGATGGCTCAGGAGTTAAGAGCACACTGTTCTTGAAGAGGACTCCAGGGTTAGTGGGTATAATGCCCTCTTCTGGTCTCCATGGACATTGCACTCAGGTGCAAATACCCTTCACACAGAGACTCATGCACAGAAATAGAAATATAACAGAACAGAAATCTTAAGATTGAAAATCTTGGGACTGGAGACATGGCTAAGAGGTTAAGATGGTTGTTCTTTCAGAGGCCCTGTGTTCAAATCCCAGCAACCACATGGTGGCTCGCACCATCAACAATGAAACCCGGTGCCCACTTCTGACATGTAGACATACATGCTGGCAGAACACTATATGCATAATAAACAAAGCAAAAAATAAATTGAAAGTCTTCAAACCCCAGCCCCAGAAAAATGAAAACAACAACAAAATAAGAAACAACAAATTAAACCTGGAGTCTCTTTCATGTATCTTTTTGTTCTCCCCTCTGTCTGTGAGTCCTATATGTGGTGACAGGGGTCACGTGTGCTCTTTGGCTGGGTGTGAGGCCCACAGAAAGTGCTTGTTTATATATTTCTTTACTTTCAGTGATGGCATGGAGCCCAGGCCTTACACGTGTGGTACAAGATCTCCAGCACTGGCTCCTCCCAAGCGGTAGCATTTTATTCCAACAGACAATGAATCAGGTGCCCTGTGGGGAGTGGAGGAGGGGCATGTGCTTTCTGCCATCACTGCTGAGAACACAGGCAGCTAAGTGAGGCATGCTTTGTGGGGGGGGGTGGTGGTGGTTGTGTTTAATCCAGCAACAGATGAGCAGTATAGATTGTGGGTTTCTCTGTTTGCCTGTGAGCTCTAAGTTTTGTGGTCATTTGTGCCCACAGGCTCTTAGATTCCATGCTGTCCCAGGGAATACTGTCCTGCAGAGGCAGAAGCAGGATCCCTGAGCTCAGGTGCCTCACCTGAAGACAGCAGAGGAGAGGCCTGCCAGTTCTCGGGGTTTCCAGCTGTGGCCTCAGTGAGGCCTGTGTGAGAATTCAGCTCTGGGGAAACCTATGGCTCTGCAACAACCATCCCCTGGCCAAGACCCTTCTTTCTAGGCCAGGCTTCCCCCTAGCTTCTGAGGTGGTGGGTAAAGTCTCAGCTCAGGACGAGACTGGATGAGCTCCTCTGCCTGTCTGACTCTCTTTATTCAGTCCCCTTTCACATGTCTTCTTGAGCCTGTCTTTCCCACAGATGTCCACCATTGGTGTTCAGACTTTCACATGCTGCTCTCAAGTCTGTCTGCCACAGGCCCACCCCAGTCGGGAGTGCAGAGTGGGGCTAACCTGTAGGGTGGGTGGTGACAGTCCTGTCCCCGGAGCAGCCTAGCCTGTTGGGCTGTCCTTGCTCTGAATTGCCAGGGCCCATGAATCCCGATGCCTTTCCTCCCTCCCGTTCCTGATAATTAGACACAAGGCAAGTTTGAAGAGGAAATCTGCTTTATTTGTCATATTTTCTGGCGATGGCCATGGGAAGTGAAGGATGCACTCTGAAGGTATCGCCCAGTGGGTTCAGCTCTCAGAGAAGGCAGACTCAGGAGGGTTGCAGGCAGGGTCCAAGAAGCAGTCAGCTGTAAGAAAAATGGGTCAGTGGTCTGAGCAGCAAATCTAAGGGCTTCCTGCTGGGCGGTCCCGCCAGTCCTCTCCTGCTTACTTTGTGTGCAACAGATGTCCTGGGTGGCACAGCGGCCCCGGGTCCCGCACCTCATCCCACCCGACTGGCAGGGTGTGGGCAGGTGTTTCTCTTCCTGGCAGCGCAGCGCCTCGGCGGTGCCCATGAAGCAGCCCAGCCCATTGGCACAGCAGATGTTCGGCCCGAAGCAGCTCCCTTTGCCACCGGGGCCACAGGAGAGGCACTGTAGGGGAGGGGCAGCAATTGGGCACAGTGCACAGTTGCCAAAGAATGGTCCTTTAAAAGGACTGTGGCAGGCAGAGTGACAGTGGGTGCCTGGGCTTTGTCTCTGCCTTCAGGTTGTCAAGTGGGAGCTTAACCATTCCCAGTGCCCTGGGTTCCCATGTGAGGCTGGGGAAGGGCTGGCAAGGGTGCAGGATGCTCTCTCTCTACAGGTGGGTGTCCTCCCTGTTCCTTAGCGCTGCTGGAAATGGACCGGATGGGGGAGACTCACCTTGCGGATATCCATGTCCAGCACAGCCCTCTTGCCGCCCAGGGGACAGTTCTGGATGTAGCAGGCAGAGGTCAGAGCCACTAGGCAAAGCAGGCAGCAAGCGAGACTGGGGCAGGCCATGGCGCTGGTGCTCTGAGTCCAGGACCCAGCAGAGGTGATGGTTTCTCCAGCCCAGTGCACCCTTTTTATGTCTGGGCTCTGCTTGGTGCAGTACTGGCTAAAGAGGGCGACTGCATGACTGGTCACAGAAGGTCACTGCTGGTCAGCTCATCTCATACTGTTTAGAGGCAGATCATTCATTTGCAGGGTCTAGGCTAGGTCAAGGTCACAGCCTCAGCTAATGACCTGGAGCTGGAAAGAGAAGCAGCCTGGAAGGGGTGACCTGGGTTACAACATCATAGACAGAATTAGGTGTGGGGTGGAGGCCCAGCCCAGCCTAGAGCTGTTTTCACAGATGTCCAGTACCTCAGGGTAGGGGGTGTCAATGTGGGAGGCTTTACATGTCCCTGAAACTGGAATGGGGGAAAAGATCACACCTTCCTTCTACTTTTGAATGTAGTTCAGCCCTTCTTCCAGCTAGATGGTAAGACAAAATATCAATAGAGATCAAATCTAAAACACAGCAAAGAAACCAAAGAAAAGAAAGAAATTCACGACACAACAAAAGAAAACTTGTGTTTGTATTTAAAACTCTGTATTAGAACTCTCTATGTAGACCAGGCTGACCTTGGATTCAGTGATCTACCTGCCCTCTACCTCCCAATTTCTGAGATTAAAGTTATTCCCCACCATGCCAGGTGCCTAGACTCCTGTTTGAGGAAACATTTGCCATAAACTGTTGGAGTGTGGCCAATAGGTGCCTCAGCTGAAGACAGCCAACTGGACTGAGGTAATACCCTTCCAAGCTGGCCACATACAATGGTTGGTCCAGTTTGGCACAAACACTGGACACCTCAGGCTGCACTTCAGCTTTGGGCTGTAGTCTGCTGAAGTCTGCATGGGAAGGATGACCCAAGCATCTCAGAGGCGACTGCTTGCCTAGTGTGTGAGAGCCTTGGGTCTACTCTCCAGTTCTGTAGCAGAAATACATTTTGGGAGCAGTTTTTGCTTACACCTTTAACTTTTATTTTTGTGTGCATGTTTGTTTGTGCAGGTTTTTTTGGAGGCCAGAAAAGGATGCTGGGTCCCAGGAGCAATAGTTAGAAGGCGTTTTGGGTCCACTTCTGTGGAGCCTGGGAACAAAATTCAGTTGTCTGCAAGAGCAGTGTTCACTTTAACCACTGAGCCATCTCTCTTTAGCCTGTGTTTTTTGTACTTTTTATCCAGTTTAAAAAGAAAAGCATAATGACAAGAAGGCGTGGAAGACTCCACTCCTTTAATTCATGGCTGAAAAATAAAACATAGATCTTCAGGAGGGACAAAAGAGTCACTGCTCCCTCTCGTGCTTGCCTCAATGACCTGATGATCACTTGCTGAGTTCCAGTCTTAACTATCTTACCATCCTGGGGCTGGGGAGTTGGCTCAGTGTTAATGAGTTGCCCTTGCAGAGGAGCCAGGTTTGAATCCCAGCACCCACATGGTGGCTCACAAGCATCTGTAACTCTAATTCCACTGGAGCCAATGCCTCTTCTGAACTTCAGGCTCATACATAGAGCATTACATACATGCAGGCAGAACATGCATACACGGAATGTATACACAGAAAACAAAGTAAATAAATTGAAAAATGTTAAAGAAGGAGAAGCATTGGCCAGATTTTTGTTTTGTTAGTTAAAGATTTATTAATTATGTATACAGTGTTCTGTCTGCATGTATCCTTGCAGGCCAGAAGAGGGCACCAGATCTCATTAGAGATGGTTGTGAGTCACCATGTGATTGCTGGGAATTGAACTCAGGCCCTCTGGGAGAGCAGCCGGTGCTCTTAACTGATGAGCCATCTCTCCACTTGCATCTGCCTCCCAAGTGCTGGGATTAAAGGCATACACCACCATGCTAGGTACCTAAAGAAAACATTTGCCATTAGCTGCTGGAGTATGGACAACAATGGTCTCAGCTGCAGAGAGCCCCCTGGCCATGGCCCTTCTCAAGTGGCCACATATAACTTTTGGTCCATTTTGCTTGGCACTTCTAACTGCACTTCAGCTTTGGTCTGTAGGTCAGCTGAATTCTGCATGGCGGTTCTGCTCATCCATCCCTTCTCTTCCATAGAGGTGAGTCCCAAGCCTGTGTTCTAATCTCTGTTGGGGGTAGGGGAGGGTAAATGAGTTCGCCAGACCCAAGATAAACGACAAGCAGGTGTTTATTAGGGAATGACTTACACAGACAAGAGTAAATGACCACCCAGGTCTTCCTGCTACAGAGGATGACGTCTCTGCTCTTCCAATGCTCTCTGCACCCAAGAAAATGTGTGCTAGCACCTCCTCTATCTTAAGGGGTCACATCTGCACTTGAAACCCCGCCCAAAGGGTGTGGCAACTACCATATGTACACTGGCAAGGCAAGATGCCACTACACTCTGAGGAGTGAACAGCCCGCAGCAGATAGTCCTAAGGTTTTCTTTATTGAGATACATCAATCAAACGAGAGGGAGGAGCAGAAGAGAGAAGGGCCGGGGGTCTCCAAGTGCAGCCCTTAAGATTCTTCCCTTACGTCACCCCCGACTTCCCTTCACCCCGCCCTCATGGGCGTGTCCCGGTATACCTGGCATCTGTCCGGGTTGCCTGGGGCGGGGCTAGGATGTCTCCCTACAACACTCTGTCTCAGCCCCCTTTCTGAGGAAGTGACCTGCAGCATCCAGGAAGAAATGGCAGCCAAAGTCCCAGAGACCAGCTCACCACAGGCAGTCTCTGCCCTAGGGAGAATGGGAAAGCCCCGAGGGTCTTTGTCTTAGTGGTTAACCTCCTCCACAAGGGACTGAAGCCAAGGGGGCAAAGCCTGCTCCAGAGCTCATTCAGTCCAGTCACAGATCCGGAGTCACTGTGTGAGCTATGAGCAGCTGAGCTGTCATCAGTTGACCTGCCTTACACTCAGCTCATTTCTTCTCCAGATTAGTTCATTGGCATTCTTGGTACTGAAGGCCAAAAGCTTCACCTCAAAGTGGCCCCAGAGAGCCTCCCACTTACTCTGTGGGCAGGGTGATCTCATCTAAGGTAATCCATGCACATAAATTAGCATATGATAATACTCACAGAATGCTCTCCTAAGGCCAGCATGCCTTCATGTGCTCACCAATTTCTCTATGCTTGGGAACACCAGTAAACAGCAGACAGAGCCCCGTCCTCAGGTTGGGGCTGCAGCTCAGAGGGAAAACCCTTGTCTAGCATATATGCAAGGCTGTGTACTTGAAGCCTTGATGCTGAGTTATCTGAGTGTATCCCAAGAATCCATGTGTTATATTGTAGGTCTCCCATTCCCTGCCTTGTCTTGTGATGATCCCTGCACAGGCACTAACTCTTGGGGATACTTTGGCTGAGTGAGTCACACTAGAGCACCATAGGGCTTTCTGGACCCTTCAGTGAGTTTGTAAAAAAAAAAAAGAAAAGAAAAGAAAAAAAGAGGTTGGCCTGCCATGGTAGCTAACACCTGTTCCCAGCATTTGGAAGGCTGAGGCAGGAGGGTTGATATGAATGGTAGGCCTGCTTGGGATACATAATTATAGGTCAGCGTGAAGTACACCATGAGATCCTATCTCAAATAATTATTAGAATAATTTAGAAAGAAACCACCCCAAGAGAGATGGGAGAGTGTGTGTACGACTGGCCTACTGTGTGCTTCTACCTAGACATCCATATGAATGAATCAGAACTGGAGAAAACACTGTGAGTGGCTGCAGTGTGATTGCTGGCCTGGTGACTCAAGTCCCTCCTCCTACCATGTGGGTTCCGGACACTAAACTAGGTTGTCAGGCTGGCTGGCAAGTCCCCTTATCCACTGGGCCATTTGCTTCCCCAACCAATTTGGATTTGAAACCCAGTATTTGGTGTTTTGCCTGTGGGTATGTCTGTGTGAGTGTGCTGGATCCCCTGGGACAGGAGTTACAGACAATGGTGAGCTGCCAGGTGGATGCTGGGAATTGAACCTGGGTCCTCTGGAAAAGCAGCTTGTGCTCTTAACCACTCAGCCATCCTTCCAGCCCCCCAAAAGGCTATTGAAATAAAATTTGAGATAATAATATATTTTGACAATTGAGGATTTACACTACCTGAAATTCTGGCAAAATATAAGTTCCAGATTTTGGCAAGAAAAAATAATTCCCAATTTGATTTCTTGCCAGACTCACTCTTTAGCATTCAATAGGCTTACTCTGATTTAATTGCTCTGGAAAAGTCATAGGGGATGCTCAAGATGTCTAGGACTGTTGCACACCTGTGCTTCAGGAGAAACTGTACACTGCAGAAACTGAGCATAGGTCCTTCATAGACCTAGATGACACAGATTGACAAAATACCCAACACCTACTGAGCTGGCAGGTGCAGATTTCCTAGCCTTGGACTCACTGAAGCCATTTGCCTTCACCCAGCAGTAGGGCACCTTCACCTCCCATCTACTGATGAGCCCTTGGGCACCTTTTGGGAGTCTCATGAGGAACCAGGTTGATCTCAAACTCCCTATGTAACTGGGGATGACCTTGGAATTCTACTGGTGCTCTTGCCTTCACCTCCAGAAAGCAAGGTTATGCAGTATTGGGAACTGAACCCAGGGCCTGTGCACACCAGGCTAGCACTCTACCAAGGGAACATCCCCTGGCCGCCTCCTTTGGTTTTATATGACCTAACCTAACCCTGAAGGCGATGACCACAGGATTGATCCCCAGCACTCACTGATGATGCAGCTTTAGCCTCAAAGTTGGAAGGGGCAAGGACCCAAGGTGTCTTGGTAAAGTATCAGTGCTTGACTGTGACTGGGGAGATAGATCCTGGGCAGGGTGGGTAGGGTTACTCATTGAGCAGAGTTCCTGGGTTCAGGTCAAATTCTCACTGTGACAACAAAGACAGGCATGGACCAAGTTGCTCCTGACATGATCAAATCAGCTTACCTCAGATATATGAGGGCAGGACATCACCTGTTCTGACCAGTCAGGGAGAGAGGGGGTCATGTCTGTCAGGGGTGTGCGTGCAGGACTGCACCTCTACTTTGCACCTTAACACCTGCTTCTTCACTACAAAGAGGCTGCCATAGTCGCCGAAGTTTCTTGGGGATTATAAAATCCTCAGAATTGTGGAAAGTAACTAGGATTCTTCTCTTTGGATGTTATCTGTGTCTCATGACAATGGATTCAAGTTCATGGCAATGACCGTAAAAAGGCAGCAACAGGAGTTGGCGACACAGCTCAGTCACTAAAGTGCATGTAATGTAGTCATGAAGGTCTGAGTTTAATCCCTGGTACCACATAAAAGCCCAAAGTGATGGCATGTTCATCTAATCCCAGTGCCAGGCAAGTAGACACAGATGGAGTCTTTGTGGCTAGCTGGCTAGGCAGTCTAACCAGTGAGCCCCAGCTTCTAGCTAAAGACCCTGCCTCAAAGAACCAAAGAAAACAAACTGAAAGAACAGACTAAGGTAAGAGAGTCCTGAGGAATGATAAGGCTGACTTTTGGACCACACACATACACACACACACACACTGAAGGACAGCAACTGGCTGGAAGATACATGTTTCTCCAGGGCCTACAACTGAATGGGATCTGTACTATCACTGTGTTTACTATTCCTGGAACTCAAAGAGCTTTTTAAGTCAAATCACTTTTGGCAACTAGGTCTTCCCAGACAGAAGAACCTGATGGGTTATCTAATGACATTATATCAGGACAGGGGCATGTCACAGAAACCACTACCAGGAGAAACAAGATATTCTGTTTCCTTACTGCATCTTGGACACAGCAGACTCTAGTCAGCAATGCCCAGGATTGAGCAAAGCAGTTAACTAACTTATGGCTCAGTTAGGTGAAACTTACTTTTGCCTAGTAAGTTAAAGACCCAAGAATTCCGAGACAAATAAACTCTACCAAAAAAAAAAAAAGACATATAACAAATGCCTTTGATTTTTACAAGTAGTTTAGGCTTCACTGCCTCTACTGATTTCTGTCATTACAGCACTATAATTACAGTCAGTGAACAGGCAAGACTGGGTTCCAAAAAACTTTATTTTAAAAGCAGCAAACATTTGGTTCACAGTACTCCCCGAGACTCAGAAGATAGCTTGGCTGCTAGAGGGGATATAGTCTAGTCTGATCCTGTGTGACAGGAAACTTCACAGAGTCTCATCTGTCCTGAGTTTGGATGTGGTGTCAGAACATTTTCCAGTCAGGTGGTGACCTAGACTGAATGGTGGCTGCTCTGGAAAAGGCTGAGCCATCCCACATAGGGTGCACCAATTCCTGTCCCAATACACTTGGGTCCTTGGCAAGCACTGTCCTTACTTTGGGCTCCTAGGACCCTCTGTGCTCAGTTCCTGACCACATTCCCTTCTCTGGTGATGGCCCAGTTATAGTCCTTTGGAGAGTTCAATGCTTCTTCTATCCGAGCCTCCAGGTTCTCCCGGGTAATGAAGTTTTTTGCCTCTTCCTATGGGAAGAAAAAGGTTAGCTACATGGGAATTCCCCCAGAGCTGGCACTCTGCACATCTTACTGTCTGTAGCTCAGGAGGGCTGAGGTTCCAAGTATCCTTAAAGAAGGGTGTCTGAAAGAGTCCTGGGTGTTGACATCCTGGCTTCTCCCTCTCCCTGGGTCCTGGGCAACCTGGCCTTGTTCCTGTGCCCAACTCCTGCCCCACACTTTCTCCTCTGCACCTGTGTGTCACTCTGTACCAGCCCTCTCCTGGGCCTCTGCCTTCTCCTTAGGGAACCTTTCCTGGTCATGGGGCCTCTCTAATCTGAGGGCTCTCTACGCTCTTCTCTGGGCTACCTTCCCTCTCCCTGGGATCCATCTTTGACAGGTGACTGCTCCTCACTGACCACTGTCAAAGGCTGCATGGCTGTGTTGTGCATGCATTAGCATTAGGTGGCTGCATAAGGGCCGTGCTTGCAGAAACCATGTGGAGCCGGGGCCTCGAGGAGCTGGGCTGCTCCATGAATCCGGTTTCAGTGGCCCCCAACTGCTGTGGTTTCATTCCCTACATGAGCAATTGTCTCCAGCCTGTTTGCTTCTTCTTTCCATTTCTGCTCCCCTCCCTTTGCTCCCTTTCCCAATAAACTCCATGTTGGTTTGTTGAGTTTGTTGGATCGTGTTTCCTTGTCCACAGCTGCAGCAAAGAACAACACCGGGCCTCTTAGAGTGTTCCATCATTCTTCTACTTAGTGGCCTCAACCATCATATTCCTGATTTTTTTCTTCCTTTTGATTCTGGTGATTCCTCCCCCCCCTCCCCCAGACAGGGTTTCTCTGTGTAGCTTTGGAGCCTGTCCTGGAACTCACTCTGTAGACCAGGCTGGATATTCCTATTTCTTGGCCAATCGATAACCCACCAGATCTCTCAGTCAGAACTTAAGAACCAGTTGAGACAACCTGATTAGAGGGGATGGACTCTCTCACTCCCTCTTAACACTTAAAAGTTTCACTGTCTCCAGTTAATGGGTTTCCCTGATTTCTCGTTTCACAAGGCAATACTAGCCTGTAAACTTTCACTGGCTATCGCCTGAGAGGGCAAACACACCCTGCTAGTGTAGAGCAGCGAGAAGACTTCCCTGCACTGCTCTCTCCAAAGGGTCTCCAATGCCCACACTCCCCACAACTCCGGCCCACCTGCAGCTGGAGCACTTCTTGCTCTTTCAGTTGCACCCAGGCCTGCTTCTCCCGGGCCCGCTGGGCCTCCTCCTCGGCTTGTCGCTGCTCCTGGTCCCGTGCTTCCAGCTGCAACCTAGCTATCCTGAGAAGCCGAGGCAAGAAGCCGAGGGTGAGGGGGCCCACGGCTGAGCCTGGCCCCGAGCCCAGCCCACCCAACCCTTCTTCTGCCCTCGCACCTCAGCTCCTGGAGCCGCCGGTTCTCCTCCCGGTTCCAGGCCATGAGCGCCTGGTGCTCCGCGGCGGCCTCCTGCACCTTGCGCTCGGCCAGGACCCCGGCTCGAGCCTCGTACGCCTTGTGTCGCACCTCCGTCACGAACTCTCGCCTGGGTGAAGACGGGCTTCATGTCGGCGCCCATCCTCCCTCCCAAGACTTCCCGGGGGTGCGGAAGGCCGCCTGCCCTTTACACACACCTGATGGCGCCCACCGTCTGCCGGTACAGCCGATAGCGCTCAGTCAACACGAAGAATTCCGCGGGGTCCACCGCGGGCGGCATTTTCTCGCGCCCGACCTTGGACTTGTCCGGCGGGTCGTGGCGGGTCTTGCGGCCGCGCGCGGGCAGGAGCTGCACGGCTGAGGGCTGGCCCCCGGGCCGCGGGGACAGGCGGCTCAGAGCTCGCAACATGACAGCTGGGGCCAGCAGCACGCCCGCCCGGAAGTGGCCGCGGAGCACCACGGGAGTCCCGGTCTCGTGGCCACGCCCCCGTAAGGCGGAACTTTTGTCTGACCCGTTGCCTCCCGGGAGTAGGGTGGAAGGGGCGGGGAACTTTGATGGCCATCGCTTGCTGGGCTCCGCCGCCTGTTCACGAGCTTGGACACGGCCCCCAAGCGTTTGGCTCTGCAGCTCTCTAGCAGGCGGCCTGCTTACCCTTTGAGGCCGGATGCACGAAATGCTGAGCTTACAGCCGCTTAAGTTAGGCTCACATTTCCTTTTAGTAAGCGCTTTGCAGGTGCACTTTAACCTTTAGGTTTACAAATTACAAACCATTTCCTTGCGCTGCCCTGCCCTGCCCTGTCCTGTCGTGGTCTTGGGCAGCTCTGCAGCTGCCAGAGTTCTCAGTATCAGTGACTGTTCTGACCTTATGGTGGGCGACCTGTGCGAGGTGATCCTTGTCTCCTCTACAACCTGACCCAGGGCCTCCCACCATGAGAAATACTGGCCCAACTGTCAAGAAACCTGAGGGTGTCAGTTGCTACTCTTAGTTATGAGGCTTTTTAGTACTTTCCCCTCTACAGCTGAATAAACAGTTCATCAGCATTGAAGAGGGACCCCCGTCTCCTCCCCCAAGCAGGGCTTCCAGACCCGGGGTTAGGCAAACACCGCACCCAAACAAACATCTTTTCAGAGAGATCCTTTATTAAGCTGGGGAGAAAAATTAAAGCGACTGCTTTCTGACTCGGGCATTAAACAGCAACGAATGACTTCGCAGGTGTAATTTTTATTTTATTTTTTTCTGAGACAAATTTCTCTACGTAACAGTCCTGGCTGTCCTGGAACTTGCGCTGTAGATCAGACTGGCCTCCAACTCAAAGATCTGCCTGTTTGGATCTCTGAAGTGTTGGACCCCCGGGGAATGAGGTTACAGGGGATTTTGAGCTGTCTGATACGGATGCTGGGAATGAAATTCACCCTCACTGCGGAACCATCTCCCCAGTTCCGTTAGGATTTTTGTTTCAAACTCGGATCCCTGGTATGATTAAAGGCATGCACTGCCACCACCTGGCCACAGGTATAATTTTTAAGAGCAGAAATAAGGGAGGTCTGTATTAGACTGGGCTAGAACGAGGGAGTGCATTTTGATTGGGCATGTTACTTACATGAACCAAAGGAGCTTTTTTTTTTTTCTTATCAGCCTGCCTCGGCCTCCGGAGTGCTGGGATGAAAAATGTGTTGCCACCACCGCCCGCCCGCCGGGCTTCCAAAGGGGGCTTTTTTTTTTAAGATTTATTTATTTATTTATTATGTATATATAGTGTTCTGCCGGCATCAGGTATCATTACAAATGGTTGTGAGCCACCATGTGGTTGCTGGGAATTGAACTCAGGACCTCTGGAAGACCAACTAGTGTTCTTAACCACTAAAGCCACCTCTCCAGCACCCTTCCTCTACACACACACACACACACACACGGAATTGAACTCAGGACCTCTGGAAGACCA